GGCGTTGTATACCTCTGGAGGTTGGGAAGACGAACCATTCACTCTGCTGCTTGACTGTCGCGGGTTAGGGAGATTTGGCTTTCTTCAGCCACCAATGGGGGGATTAGCGTTCATCTTTGCTCGTGTAGCTGAGAAGGTCAAGTCAATTTAAGCGGCTAAGATGTTTGTGATTGAAGTATCTAAGATGGTCGTTCTCTAAGTGATAAAGTTGTCTTAAAAGTGATTATGTTGGTTGTTAATTGCTTAGAGACAAACATCTTTGTCATACTAGAAGTTTATTTGAAGTGGCAAAGATGTTAACCTTTTAACTAAAGATGTTTGTCTTTTAAGGAGTAAAGATGCTTCTCATTTAAGTGACATATGCTTGTTTATTTTACATCTTTATTATTTTCTTTATATCTCTTACATATAAATTATAATGCAAATCTCAGCATTTAAAGTTATAGCTGCGCTCTTCTGTCCTTGTCTAACCGTAAAAGTTTACATGAAAATATTAAAAAACTAAATTGAATTTTAAACACTAAAATATATTCTAAAGTTTATTTGTAATTGTTAGGCTAAGAAGGATGTGGTACGCAGTATTATTCTGTTTTGTTTTCCAAAGCCAGCAAACAGAATGATGATGTTGAATCCTTAATATAGATCACTCTTAAAGTCAGGAGTAATATTGATCGCTCCTCTTATCCAAGTCAAATGAGAAGTGGGATAAAGTTCTTCAGGGCTATAGGGTCGCTGTTATGGTATCTCTGGAGGTAATTACCTCCACGGCCAGGTCTCCGACAAGGTTCCATAGTTGCACGTCTGGTCAGACAAGCTGTTGTTGCTTGCAGCTTGCAATATGATGTGGGCATTGCGGACCCGATACGACTAAGTTTTGTGATACGGAATCTGTATCTAATATCTCTACTACTCTTACAGTCCATCATTGCTAAATAAGATGAATTTTAATTTACTTGTTTAACCTAGCTAGTAACAAGGACCTAAGCCGACCGCTCATGGCTCGAAAAAGAAAACTTGGTAAACACCTTCGAAGGATAGGTGATCAATCAGGCTGTCGGACCGCGAGCAGCGGCATCTAGTGGCCTGGTTGACCAGACCACCAATCCAGAGGTCTGGTCAGAGACAGCGCCGCGGGGACATTGATCCCCGGTACCATCACAAGGTAGATGCCTACCTCAACCGTTCTAATAAGCTATTCATTACTTAAATCTCATAAAGATTATCTCTCATATAGTGTTTTTAACATCAGCGAACAAGTGCCTTTATCTTCATTATGGCTGAGAACTCTCAGGTGGAATGATGCATTGCGGCTTTGTGCATCGTTTTACCCTAATTTATAGTGTGTTTTGGTATTTTAATTTGGCTACTAATATACTAATACCGGTGTGTGTGTGTGTGTGTGTGTGTGTGTGTGTGTGTGTGTGAGAGAGAGAGAGAGAGAGAGAGAGAGAGAGAGAGAGAGAGAGAGAGAGAGAGAGAGAGAGAGGAGAGAGAGAGAGAGAGAGAGAGAGAGAAGAGAGAGAGAGAGAGAGAGAGAGAGAGAGAGTGTGTGTGTGTGTGTGTGTGAATACGTCGTGTAGTGATGGCCTCAATTACACCTCTCATTCGGATAGTTAACTATTTACCAGCATCATCTTATCTATAATCCTTACCTCTTATCTCTCTTCCTCTTCCTCCTCCTCTTGACATTCACTGTTCCGTTACTCGTCTATAGCTTAGCACGCTGAAAATTAATTTTTTTTCCAGACTGAACAACATAACGATCATCCCAATCTATGTAATGAGACACACAATAATATTTACATTAAATAGCTGTTTCACTCACCCCAAAAAAAATAGCTTTTTTTTTTTTGAGTGAACGCTGGATGAGTTGCGATTTAGTTTGCTCTTTTATTTAATTCGTGTTAATGCTAATTTGTTGAAGTGTTTCGTGTGATTTTTCATGGGTGATTGGGTTGGTGTTAGTGTAGTGTGTTATGGTTGTAGGTGGTGTATAATGTGCTATGGTTGAAAGTGGTGTACAGTATTGTTATGGTTGTAGACGTAGCGTGTTACGGTTGTAGGTTGTGTTTGTGGTGTATTGTGTCATAGTAACAGGTGGTGTATTGTGTCATAGTAATATTTCTGGATGTATTGACTGGTTTACATTAAAATGCATTTAGAAACTTCAATTTTTGGGTTTACTGCATTTACCTCAATATATTGTAAACAAAATATTGACGACTTTAGACCTCGTGTTTACTAAACGTAGACAAATATTCAACTGAAACTATATAATATTCAAGTCAAATTATCACTGCAGCAACGTGTACAGACCTAATCATCTATGCCTTTTACAGTCGCACGGAAGTTGTTGTTCCATTTCAAACCCCCTGAATGTGTCGTTCATACAAGGTAGTTAATGACCTTCACTACGTAGCTCTATAATGTGTGAATAGTACATTATACCGAGCTACTGAATGAAGAAAATTGTTGGATCTTTCCAGTGTTCTAGACTTAATTATAATGTTTTCTTTATATATATATATATATATATATATATATATATATATATATATATATATATATATATATATATATGCAACAATGATCACAAAAACACTGATCCAAGTATGCAGAATAACCACATATGAAAAATAGAAATGCTTATTTTCGGCTAATTCGCCTTCATCAGAGCAAAGTAGAATCCATTTGCAAAGTAGATTCTACTTTGCTCTGATGAAGGCGAATTAGCCGAAAACGCGTTAAGCATTTTCTATTTTTCATATGTGGTTATTCTGCATAATATATATATATATATATATATATATAATATATATATATTGGTAGATGAACTAGGTCATAAGTTTACTACTGACACGAGTGTTTTAAAATAGAATATAAACTTGCCTCTATAATTGAATTCTGTTAACTAGAATGGCTAAAGCTTTCTTTATTGCTGAGTGTGGCTTCAATATTATCATTATCATTATTATTATTATTATTATTTATACTGCTTCTACCACTAGCTGCTATCACCAACCACTATTATCAACCACCACCACCAACCAGTCCGGCTGCCAAACACCTTCCTCAACTTTGTACATTACCGACGCTACCAACATCGAAAACAATTCAATGGAACCAAGAGAAATTAGGGCTGGTCAGTCTAGGAATGCGCGAAATTCATCAACACGAGAGAATAGAGAACCTAAACTGCGGTCTTGCAAAGCCAATGAGAATCACTCAGTAAATTCAAGAAGCACAAAGGAAACATGTTCGGCAGACCATTCGATACCTTTTTTGACTGCCAATGTCAACATTTAAATTGTTTGCCCTAAGTCGGCTACTGTGTGTGTGTGTGTGTGTGTGTGTGTGTGTGTGTGTGTGTGTGTGTGTGTGTGTGTGTGTGTGTGTGTGTGTGTGTGTGTGTGTGTGAGTGTGTGTGTGTGAGGGGGGGGGGTTAATGTAGTACATATATGCATAGTTCCTCCGCGTATTACCGGGGTGTATGTGTTTAAACAGTACTGCATTACGATTGTATATGTGAGAATAAACATATCATCATACTAATATAATGTTGTATCCACATACCTCGCGGTCATGACAACGTCCAATAGTTTTTTTCTGGAGGGGGCGGTTTAAGGGGGGGAGGTAAACCTTTTCGGTATACCATCACAAGTACATCACCAAACGTAATTGTACCCGACCGTGTGGAACAGTAAATAATACGAACCAATGTTATATACAGCTGATATATTCGGCTTCGAGAGTATGTAAGTCGATCTTGTTGGGTCACGGTGCTGCTGCTGCTGCTGCTGCTGCTGCTGCTTCTACATGCATGGTACCAAGCGCCGATTGTAAGGCATCTTTCCTACTGGAGGTTCTGAGGTAGCTTTCCCCCTGCGTGTTCTAGACAATTTTAGGTTGGGCGTTAACAGCCTTAGCGAAGTCTTGGGTAATTTCGTGTGACGAAGACGACGTTAATTAGCCGGGAAAATGTTTGAAGACGAACTGAGGGAGATGAGGAAATGTTTTAATCTCTTGTTGGGGAAATTATCTTTTTTATATTTTTTATCTTTGTATTTTTTTTTTAACCTTTGCAGGAGGAGATCCTTTATGATACCGAGTCATGAACCTGTGTTAAATTATCACGACGTGGACGCTTTGATCGTTATGGTGACACTTTGATCGTGATCATTATGAAGACACATTGATCAATAAAGGTGATAGAGTGCTTCACCAATTACAAAAAAAACACTAATTAGTCTGGTAGATGACTTGGTATAACGCACGAGCGTTAATGGTCTAGAGAGTGTTAAACCAGTCTCTCTTCTCCTCCTGAGAATGACAGATTGATGCAACTTAACTATGTCTGAACTTGACTATTTGCGAACTTGACGGTGTGTACTGTGTATTCTTATCTACTTGAGCTTGTGGGGGGGTTGAGCTTCGGTTCTTTGGTCCCGAACTTGAGTATGTGTGAACTTGAACATGTATGAACTTGACTGTGAACTTGGCAAGACGTACAAGAACGTACCGTCGTATACTTCGATGACACTAAGAGTATTTTAAGGCTTTAGCTATCTTGAACATTGTTGATTGTGGTTATAGCTTGTATAGGTTTCCTTGTGTTCTCAATGTGTTTGTTAGTAGCTCTGAGGCTGTTTTAGAGGGAAATATTGGACAATATTTTATTAATGACTTTGTATTGATTCATAATGTATCACCACATCAGCCATTTCATTAATGGAACACGGAGTCATCATAATAAAAATGGGAACTCTCAATAACTTATAAATCCAGTAAGAAATTGATAAACATATAAAATCTTGATTCATGATAAGTCAATTTGTTGACTAAATGGACCCATGATTGGGGCAGTTTAATTCAGACATTTATCTCATGAAGTCATAACTACCTTCCTGAAGGGGGAAACATACGTTATATTCAGCTGTCCCTTTATCAACAAAAATCCCTTCCAGATACCGTAATACAGTGAGCATTGTTTTGTGTTGCAGCTTGCCGTAGGAAACCCGAATCATGCCTGATGCCTAATGGTTAGTACTGACTATCCGTGTATATATCTCACTCTGGCTTGACCCAACTTTATGTATATTATACCGTCAAACCTCAGTGATTCAATGTCGTGATTTTTGTACTCATCGGCTTGTCATTCATGATCGGTTTAATAACCGGGAAAACTTTTTTGTTTTTCTTTTAAAGAGACGAGTTAAACACAAATGAATTCAGGAGGTTGACCGTATTTGTTACATAGGTGTGAGTGGACTAAGGCTGTGATGTATTGTGTTCTGCTCTTACTAACCAGCGCTCCTCTCGCCTCACTAGCTATGTAAGGTACACAGTCAACCACAGCAAACATTTCCATGGTTGTCATTTGCTGCCAAGGTGTTTAGCAATAAGGGAAAGCATTTATAGTGTGCCATTTACTTTGGGTTATGTAGAGCTTGTGTACTAAACACATGGTGTAAAGAGTAAATCCACAACTATGTAGCTTCATTAAAATTTATACGATCGACAATTATTGTTGTACCACAGTTACCAATGTCTGTTGCTAGCCAGTACCTACAGTGAGGTTATTGTGACCACTTCCTCCAAGAAAAACTACTGAGAAACACATGCTTGCTCCTATTAAAGATACCGTTAAGGCTTGCTCCTGAATACCTTGTTCCACTGAGAAGTTTAGCCGCGCTTCACTCCCTCATGGAGTCGGTGGAGGGTGCTGGCAGCTCTGGCAGTTGGGACCATATGGCGACAGGTCTCCGCTCAGCGTCCGTCTAACCATCACCAGGCGAAGTGTTATTAACGTTCATGCAAACTCGTAAATCCATCACAATATCAGTACCGTATCACGATATCCCCCCCGTGGACAGCGTTGTATACGTGCATGCCAGGTCGTAACACGCTTCCAGGTCGTAACTTCCACATCAGCTGATTTCTGTTTTCATTTTCGCGTTCATGTTTTAATACAAGGGTTATTATTTCCGACGTTGACGTCACGCCTCGTCGAAAACGCATCCCCGATACATCAGATCATATGAATTTTTTATTATATACTATTTTACTCATATATCTTAGCATCTGGCTGTCCAGTAATTGGATATAATGGTTAATAAAATAGCAAGCATATGGTTGATCGTTAGTGTATATAACCAGGAAACGTGGTCCTTATGGAACGGGATGAGTCATGGCAAGCGTTACACGGTTCTCACCCTAACAACAGTTACGTTTAAGGCGTATTTTACATTGTAGTGAAAAGATGATTCACCTAATCCATGTAGATACGAGAAAATTGGTTAAAACACTGTTTATTTACATACGCGTATCACACACAACGACATAAATCGTTAGACTCGTTTTAAACGCATTGCTCAACTTATTAATATCAACAGTTTCTCTTGGTGTAGTTAAAGAACACAATTCTACCATTGTGTTGCAGATGGCAGAGCACATCAACACGCTGTGTGTTTCTAGCAGTGTTCACAATAATAAATAGCTTAGCGTTGTAGCCCACCCCATGATGGGGTCCGGAGCTGGAGATATATATTCACTTCAATAAACAGAAGCGAACTAAAGGGTAATGAAAGAAACGGGACTATAACAACAGTCTGTTGAGCGCGATGACATTGCATTTTGCCTATCATCATCTGCAAGTGTATACACACACCCACACTACACTGCCTCGCCTCCACCCACACACTGCCTCGCCCCCCACCCACACACTGCCTCGCCTCCACCCACACACTGCCTCGCCCCCCACCCCACACACTGCCTCGCCCCCCACCCACAATGCCTCGATACCCACCCACACTACCTCGACCTCACCCACACACACCCACACTGCCTCGCCTCCACCCACACTACCCTCACCCCCACCCACACACTGCCTCGCCTCCACCCACACTACCCTCACCCCCACCCACACACTTTCTCGCCCCCCACCCACACACTGTCTCGCCCGCCACCCACATTACACTGTCTCGCCCCCATCCACACACACCCACACTGTCTAGGCCCCACCCACACACACCCACACTGTCTAGGCCCCACACACCCACACTGCCTAGCCCCCACCCACACACACACCCACACTGCCTCACCCCCACCCACACTGCCTCGCCCCCACCGACACACACCCACACTGCCTCGCCCCCACCCACACACACCCACACTGCCTCACCCCCACCCACACTGCCTCGCCCCCACCCACACACACCAACACTGCCTCGCTCCCACCCACACACCCACACTGCCTAACCCCCACCCACACACACCCACACTGCCTCGCCCCCACCCACACTGCCTAGCCCCCACCCACACTGACTTGACCCCACCCACACACACCCACACTTCCTCGACCCCACCCACGCACACCCACACTGCCTCACCCCCACCCACACACACCCACACTGCCTCACCCCCACCCACACACACCCACACTGCCTCACCCTCCACCCACATACACCCACACTGCATCGCCCCCACCCACACACACCCACACTGCCTCACCCCCACCCACATACACCCACACTGCCTCGCACCCACCCACACACCCAAACACTGCCTCACCCCCACCCACACAGCCTCGCCCCCACCCACACACACCCACACTGCCTCGCCCCCACCCACACACACCCACACTGCCTCGCCCCCACCCACACACACCCACACTGCCTCGACCCCACCCACACACACCCACACTGCCTCACCCCCACCCACACACACCCACACTGCCTCGACCCCAGCCACACACCATGGCCCACCACACAATACCACACCCCACCATACAATTGACACACTGTATCCAACCTCAAAGCCTTACGAAGCTTTGCGTTTTTCCCCATCACTGTGCTTCACTAGTCTCGTGCTTACTCCATCTATATTTCTTAGCAAATATTAGTGCTTCTAACAGCCTTAGTTACTTATGTAATCGTAGTGCCTCGTCCTATTTTATTGTCTTTCCGTCTTTGTACCCAATTTCAAAACCTTGTCTCATAAATAGGATTTCTCAATTTTAATAGTCTAATAAATCTCTAAAAATGGTTATCAAATCATTGGGCTTGATCAATATCAGTGATGTATGTAATCACAGCGATTGCTTCTAATCTTATTATCTTATCTAAACTTTAGATAAATTTAGTGCTTTATTTAATCACAGTGCTTTTTCAATCTATTCCTTTTCAGCATCTATCCTCCGTGTCCTCTCTATCTTGTGACAAGCTGTATTTTGATACAGCTTGTATATATATTATGTACTCACCTAGTTGTGTCTGCAGGAACGAGCATTGACTCTTGGATCCCGCCTAAATCCCGTGTGTGTGTGTGTGTGTGTGTGTGTGTGTGTGTGTGTGTGTGTGTGTGTGTGTGTGTGTGTGTGTGTGTGTGTGTGTGTGTGTGTGTGTGTGTGTGGTGAAAATCATTTTACTTTTCAGTATAATCCAATTTCAGTGATAGCTCTGAATCTCACACAGTCCAATTGCTACTCTTACATTCCTGTTACCGCAGTACGTCTCAGTAGACCTGCTACCACCATCTCAGAACTATCACAACCCCAAACACTATCACGAACTGTATTAGCCCAATTTAGCGAATATAGCTTCCATTTCAACGTCCTCCCCCAGTTTCAATACCATTTCAGTCGTATCTGACGTGGAGTTATCCTTCGACATCTTTACTTCCCTTTGTGTGACCAACTTTTCAAAACGCCCTCAGGTCGCCCGTGTAAAGGTTTTAATATTTGACTGTGTAATAGACTTCACAATCTGACGAAGAGGAACAAGTATCCCGATGCGAGTTTCAAGTGAGGGTTCTAGATTGGTTATGGCAGGGTAGAGAGTATGGTGGATTACTGAAGGGTGGTGAAGTTGGTGTATCTTCTTAGTGGAGTGTAGAGGGCTGGTGGATTTGTTTAGCTCATAGTTTAGTTTAGGAACTGGTGGATTTGTTTGCTCTTGATAAAAATGTTCAGGATTTACATGATTTTTTCATTCTTTGTGGATTTTTTATCGTGGATTTGTTGTTTCTAGAGGCTAGTGAATTTATTTGTTTGTGTTGGAGTGTGGAGGCTGATGGAGCTGCTATTGTAGCGAAGGGTGGAAGATGGTAGGTTCATTCTTACGTTGAAAATTTTGATACTGGTGGATTTGTACGTCTTAGTAGTATTCACACTATTAGATGTGCCCGTCTCGCTCGGCGGAATCTTTTCCCTCTCTTGGACATAATAATGATCATCATTTAAAACTAAACTTTCTGCAAGCATACTAGACAGCACTAATGTTACCTGTCAGTCAAGTGAATGTTATTGACCACATCTATGGTGCAGACGTGGATCTTGAGCGTCTCCCGTCGCAATAACGGGCGAAGCCCACCTGTTGGAAGCTGCGAAGAACACACTCACGCCCTCGAATCATCTGGTTGTCATCTTCAAGTATTTAAAGTGTTCTTTGAGAATGTATGTCCTCCAGTATTTCTCTAAAATATTGGAGCATTTACAAGAACGGCATTTACCCGGCCATTTACAAGAATGCCCGGGTTTTCTTGTAAATGTTATTAAATACGCTTTTAATAATAACACGAAAATGTTGCAGTATAACTGCACTTTCCACTTTTCAAAGCATAAAGAAGCATATAAATTTAAAAAACAAAAAAGCAACACCATCTTCACCAGAATATAAAGAATCGAGTGTTTTTTCCCCTTTCCAACACTTCGATTTTAAATCCTGATTGCAATTCATTATCATTTATAATTTGAGTCGCTCTGGAATACTTGATTGCGATTATGTTGTGACCAAATCCTCCTTCCCCCCTCACTGCCAAATTTCCAACAGCGTCTCTCGCTCTCTCTGCTTCTCTCTCCCTCCCTCTTCCTCCGCCACTACTCCATCACTCTAGTCTTCCCCTCTCTTTCCATATCTCGGATTCAGATTTCTGTTCCTATCTTTTAGATTCAACTTCCCTTCCCCGACCCCATCTCGGCTCCCCACGGCCTTTTGCCTTCAATTCACCTCTCTCTCTCTCTCTCTCTCTCTCTCTCTCTCTC